CCCTCGCCGCCGCCTCCCTCCACCTCACCGTCTCCGCCGCCGCCGTCCACCTCACCGTCACCGCCCCCTCCCTCCGCCTCGCCCTCGCCGCCGCCGCCGTCCACCTCACCGTCACCACCGCCTCCCTCCGCCTCACCGTCTCCGCCGCCGCCGTCCACCTCACCGTCACCACCGCCTCCGTCCGCCTCACCATCGCCGCCGCCTCCTTCCGCCTCACCATCGCCGCCGCCTCCCTCCGCCTCGCCCTCGCCGCCGCCGCCGTCTGCGTCGCCCTCGCCGCCGCCTCCCTCCGCCTCAACATCGCCGCCGCCTCCCTCCGCCTCGCCCTCGCCGCCGCCTCCCTCCGCCTCACCGTCGCCGCCACCTCCGTCCGCCTCGCCGTCGCCACCGCCTCCCTCCGCCTCGCCCTCGCCGCCGCCTCCCTCCGCCTCGCCCTCGCCGCCGCCTCCGTCCGCCTCGCCGTCGCCACCGCCTCCCTCGGCATCGCCGTCGCCGCCACCGCCGTCCGCCTCGCCCTCGCCACCGCCTCCCTCCGCCTCGTCCTCGCCGCCGCCTCCGTTCGTGTCGCCCTCGCCACCGCCTTCCTCGGCATCGCCGTCGCCACCGCCTCCCTCCACCTCGCCCTCGCCGCCGCCGCCGTCCGCGTCGCCCTCGCCGCCGCCTCCCTCCGCCTCGCCCTCGCCGCCGCCTCCTTCCGCCTCACCATCGCCGCCGCCTCCCTCCACCTCGCCCTCGCCGCCGCCTCCGTCCGCCTCACCATCGCCGCCGCCTCCCTCCGCCTCGCCCTCGCCGCCGCCTCCCTCCACATCACCGTCGCCGCCGCCTCCGTCCGCCTCGCCGTCGCCACCGCCTCCCTCGGCATCGCCGTCGCCGCCACCGCCGTCCGCCTCGCCCTCGCCACCGCCTCCCTCCGCCTCGCCGTCGCCGCCGCCTCCGTCCGCATCACCATCGCCGCCGCCTCCGTCCGCATCACCATCGCCACCGCCTTCCTCGGCATCGCCGTCGCCACCGCCTCCCTCCGCATCGCCGTCGCCACCGCCTCCCTCCGCATCGCCGTCGCCACCGCCTCCCTCCGCATCGCCGTCGCCACCGCCTCCCTCGGCATCGCCGTCGCCGCCGCCTCCCTCGGCATCGCCGTCGCCGCCACCGCCGTCAGCATCGCCGTCGCCACCACCGCCCTCCGCATCAACATCGCCGCCGCCATTCTCGGCATCGTCGTCGACACCGCCGCTCTCGGCATCGCCGATGAAATCACTGTCGTCCGGATCATCCACGAATACAAAATTGTCCGCAACGTCGTTGACACCTCAATTCTCCGTATAGTGAGTGCAATTACAATTCACGGG